ATGTATAAATAATGTGAATGGAGGTAGAAAGAGCGAATGTTGAGAAGATAGTGAGGGCCTCAAATTCCTGTCCAGGGCCCCCAATCAGATGTCAGGTAGGTGATTTTCTTATCAGAATGATCAGAGTGAGTTTTCCGAGCTATCGTATCTTCGTGATCGCCATTAGACTCATCCAATTCATTCCGAATCCTCTATGCTATCCTTAGATTGACACTCAACTATTCTGAAAAGTTCATATTGGAGCTTCCAGTGCGAATGTCAAGAAGTACAACGTGTCGTTTCCAAATTTTTGGTAGAGGGAATAACGTCATGGTGCTCTTTTTCTCACAGACATTTGCCCAAATGATCCGACTACATCCTGCATTCGACAAAATCAAAATCAACGTGCATGCACAAAATTAAAAACATAAAATGGCGACAATCTACACATTGCATCCTGTATGTATAAATGTGGATACATAGCGGTTCTATAGTTATGATATCATAGAACCGCATCATGAATTTACAACCCCCGTCTTCTATTCCGCGACCTTTATCGTCGCTTTCGCAATCTTCTATGTCAATATAACAGAATATCATCTTTGATGGTGAATATCTTTGTTTAAATCTCCGTATAACCACACTGAAGATGGCTCATGTGAGCCGAAAGCTTAGATCAAGAAACGGCATAATAAAAAATATCCAAATGTAGGCCAATTTTTGTCTTTATTTTCACCCGAAATTAAAGCAAACATACGAAGTTTAGAATGGCTCATGAACTAACATAATAGACAATCATTGTCTGTTATATTTAACAATATATATATATATATATATATATATATATATATATATATATATATATATATATATATATATAAAGTTAATATAAATGGCGAAATCCCTTCGCTCACAAAATTAACCTACTAATCACTCGAAGAATGTTACGATCCTTGTTAAAAGAAATTAAAACATCAGTGGATATATAAACATATTGTGATTACTTAGTTTTATACTGATCCTTCTAATTTTTAATCAGTTTCTTGATGATAAGATGAAATTTATCAGGAAGGGGCCGTGGTTTTTCTAACCCAAGTACATTCGATCGTTTCCAAGCCCATCTTCAGGAGTAACAAAATACAAACTTATTGTATCTATGATAAAAACTGCATCCAGTTGTAATGGTGATTTAAAAAAAAAAAAAAAACACGCGTGAACGTGCTCTGGAATAATTTTAAATTTATCCGTTGTAGCTATGGAATCATTTGCAAAACAAGCGTTTCAGTATAAGGGAGCTGACCGGAAATTGGTAGAATGCAAAATGGCATAAAATCTTTGTTATATGCACTTCAAAGCGTTGCTGCTACACTCGTAATAAATTTTCTTGATTTTGATATAACGGATTCGGGAATTTGATGGTTTTATTTATTATTTTCATGCTGTAGTATATTGGTGCAGTCAACAAGTATTTTCCTATATTGTGAAGGTGGACAGGAATGTGTTTTTAGATGCTCTGCAACTGAACTTTTATCCGACAAATGAAGTGTAAAACGTCTTGATAATGTTGTGGTCGTTAAACCAACATATCTACTTACCTTTTTGTCAAAGATACAATCTCCCAAAGGACCTTTAAACTTATATACAATGATGGTCTTTTCCAAAACACTAGTTGACGGTAAAGAATTATTGCGGATGATTAAGTTGGTTGGGTTAAATTTAGTATAGAATATAATTAGTTTTATTTGTTTTATGGGATCAGTGGGGATTATATTAGTACTTATGAAATTTTTTAGGTTTTTTTCAACCTTGTTTATAGTTAGAATGAATTTGATTAAAGTATAGTAGGTTGATATGTTTAGGATTATTTGAGGAAGTATTATGTTCTTTTTACTTTATATATATATAGTGAGTACTGAATATTGACTTCGATCTTCATTGGGTTTCCCTTACATTCGGCCTTGTCACACACATTTAAGGTAAGCTTAGTAGATCGCTGTTTTGTAATAGCCAGGACATTCACTATAGTTGAGAGTGCACGTGTTCATGCTCGTTAGCCTTTTTATATGGGGACGTAGTAAATATATTATTATTATTATTATTATTATTATTACTGACGTCTAAGTTGGTTGTATTGAATTTAGTATGGTATATAATTACTTTTATTTTTGATGGGATCAGTGGGGAATATATTAGTACTTATGAGAGTTTATAGTCAGTATGCATTTTATTACGGTATTGTAGGTTGATATGTAAAATGACATTAAATGCTATATGCTCTTTAATAAATTAATAATTAACTAATAAATTTTGTTGAGTGTCGGTTGGTTAATTTTGATATAGAGGGCTTCGAGAATTTGAATTTTTTGCTTATTTTAGTGGTGTAGCAATTATTTTCATGTATTGTAAAGGTGGACAGGAGTGTATTTTTAGACGTTGTGCAATACAACATGTATCCGACAAATGAAGTGTGAGACGTCTTGATAATGTTGTAGCAATCAAACCAATATATGCACTTTTTTTTTTGTCAGAGATACAATCTCCCAAAGGATATTTAGACTGATATACAATCTTGGTATTTTCCAACACACACACACACACACACACACATATATATATATATATATATATATAATTCATCAAGTCTAGAAGAATCTTCAGAAGTCCGTATCCACTACCGCGAATCGAACCCGAACCCTTACGATATGACGCAAGCGTCATACCTACTGGACCAACGGTAACAACCCAGACTCGATATAGCGCCAGCTCTTCACAAATTCCGTCGTGTGACTCATACGAGTCTACATAGGGCAACGGACTGTGCTCCCATGAGTCACGACTCTCTCCCTATATATATATATATATATATATATATATATATATATATATATATATATATATATATATATATATATTTGTGTGTATTTAGGCTGCATTTTTCATTCATACATGTTTCATTAAATAATATAGACAACTGTTGTCTATTTTATGTAAATTCTTTTCATAACGTCTGATAAGCTTAATAACATTATCATTAAACGAAGAAAGAAAATCACAATATTGATACATATTTTTTTAATCCAATCTAAGCTGTCGGCTTACATAAGCCATTATCAAAGATGACAATTACAGTAAAATATATGAAGCAATACACAGACAAGAATGTGATGATAGTCTGTTTCTGTTTACATGGATGATTTCCAAGCAACGATAAACACGTGCATATAAGACGCTGGAAGCGAAAATCGCACCGCAGTTCATGACGTCACACATGATCACGCGAGAGTGAATTCGAGAAGAGTTTAGTATGGGAAGCCTTTGGTATAAACCAATGGCTTCTGTTACCAATTATAGATATTTAAGAATATTTGTGGAGATTTCATAATTTATTTTGTTCAGGTTAGGTTTCAACTGTTTTATGTATATAGCTTCAAGGATTTTTAATTTTTGTTTATTGTTTTCATGTTTAAGTATAATTGCGTTTTCAACAAGGATTTTACGGAATTGTGTATGCGGCCAGGCATGTTGTTTTAAATGTCTAAAAATATTAGAGTTTTCATTCAAATGTAATGTCAAACGTCGTGAAAGCGAGTTTGTGGTGTGACCAACATAAATACTATTTAATTCGTTGAGGATACAATCTCCCAAAGGGCACTTGAATTTGTAAACTATGTTGTTTTTTTGCAAATCGCTAACCGGGGGAGAAGAATTATTGCGAAGAATTAAGTTGGATATACTAGATTTAGTGTAGTATATGATTAACTTAATTTTTTTGTTAGGATGTTTTGTAGATATATTAGTATTTACTATTTTCTTTAGTATATTTTCATCTTGTTTATAATTAGTATGCATTTGATTACAATATAGTAGATTAATGTGTTTGTGATTATTAGAAACAGTATTATGTACTATTTGCTTAATATTGAGATTTCTAAGAAAGCATCTTATTTGTTCATCAACTATATAGTTTGGAAAGCTATTATTAATAAGTGTTTGCTTTATATATATTATATATATATATATATATATATATATATATATATGTGTGTGTGTGTGTGTGTGTGTGTGTGTGTGTGTGTGTGTGTGTGTGTGTGTGTGTGTGTTTTGGAAAATACCAAGATTGTATATCAGTCTAAATATCTAAATCCCCGAGCCTCTTTTCGAATTTTCTTGTTGTAAAAGACCACAACATATTGTCTTCTTTTTCGCTCATCTAACTCTATTCATCTAAAATCTGTTCGCCGTACTAGAAAACTGACTCACATTAAAAAATAAATCATATGTTCATGGTTCAAGTTTCATTTGAAACAAATCTAGATAAAAATTTGTTCTAAATGCCAACTATTTTGGGGCTGCATTCTTGGTTAAGATTAAATTTGTTTCTGTTGATTCACAACTAACTTTGCCTCACTTTTTGGTACTTCTGTGTCTTAAGAAAAAGCCAACGTTACAATATTCTGAAATAGCGTCAACAGGCTAGGCCTTCTGCTGCTTCTGTGGTCACTTTTCTGTCTATTATTTTTTTTTATCTCGTATTTAATTCCAAAATCTGGATTCATCCATTCTTTAGTTCGAGAAGAGAAAACTAATTCTAAATTTATCCTTTAGCCTGGTCAATGAGAGAATAGAAGAAAGAAATAAAAGGCTACAAAAAAAAGGCGGGAAGTTAGCAAGTTGAAAAGAAAAGATAATGACATTAATGGCGGTCATGTGGAGAATGGAAATTGATAGAAAGCAAACGCAGAAGAGGAAGAAAAAGTGAAATAAAAGCAACAAATGAACAATGGATGTTAAGATAATAAGCTAAAAGAATAATAAAGAGAGGGTCAAAAGATTGAGGAAAAGAAAAAAGATGAGAATGTTAATAATAAAAACAAAGACAGAAAGAAAGAAGCGTGTCAGTCATGATAAGTATAAAAATAAGAAAGAGACAAAGAAAGAAAGAAAGAAAGAAAGAAAGAAAGAAAGAAAGAAAGAATGGAAGAAAGAAAGAAGCATATCAATCATCATAATAAATAGAAAACCTAGAAGAAAGAAAGAAAGAAAGAAAGAAAGAAAAATGTGTGTAAATTATCATAATAAATAAGAAGAAGAAAGAAAGAGAACGCAAGAGAAGAGAAGGAGGAGATGAAAGAAAGAAAGAAAGAAAGAAAGAAGAGAAAGAAAGAAAGAGAAGAGAAGAGAGAGATGAAAGAAAGAGAAGAGAAGAGTAAAGAAAGAAAGAAAGAAAGAAAGAAAGAAAGAAAGAAAGAAAGAAAGAAAGAAAGAAAGAAAGAAAGAAAGTGTGTAAATAATAAGAAAAATGAAAGAGAACGCAAGAGAAGAGAAGGAGGAGATGAAAGAAAGAAAAGAAAGAAAGAAAAAGAAAGAAAGAAAGAAGTAGAAAGAAAGAAAGAAAGAAAAGAAAGAAAGAAAGAAAGAAAGAAAGAAAGAAAGAAATAGAAAGAAAGAAAGAAAGAAAGAAAGAAAGAAAGAAAGAAAGTGTGTAAATAATAAGAATAATGAAAGAGAACGCAAGAAAAGAGAAGGAGGAGATGAAAGAAAGAAAGAAAGAAAGAAAGAAAGAAAGAAAGAAAGAAAGAAAGAAGTAGAAAGAAAGAAAGAAAGAAAGTGTGTAAATAATAAGAATAATGAAAGAGAACGCAAGAGAAGAGAAGGAGGAGATGAAAGAAAGAGAAGAGTAAAGAAAGAAAGAAAGAAAGAAAGAAAGAAAAAAAGAATGAAGAGATAAGCGTTAAACAATTAAGGTAAATGATTATAAAACTTGAGCCAAACGAATTGCAATCATAATGGTCAATCATCGACGAAACAAAGATAGTAATGCGTAATGACATCACCAGGCCAGATCAATCGATCGATCGATCGATCGGTCGATCGCTGTTTAAATGTTATAATTATGAAGTTATAAATTGGCGCTATAATGCAAACTAAAATCGACTGAATCGACTGTCTTGATTAGAAAGTCTAAAATGCTGGTTATTAGTCAAAATTAAGCCAAGATTTACTTCGCCTCTGATTGTGAATTAGACAAAGAAAAATTGGTTTTCAAATATTCACTATTTGGAAATTTTTATGAGAGCATGTATTGTTAAATCTCTCTCTCTTCTTCCCTCTCTCTCTCTCTCTCTCTCTCTCTCTCTCTCTCTCTTCTCTCTCTCTCTGTGTTTCTCACTCTCTGATACGGACATTTTAAAATGTGAGCAATGATGACCCTCCATGATTTCCTTCCTCGCTTTAAGTAATGTCTGCATCTTTAGTAACTCGCTCTTTGGACCATGGTCTGACATCGCTTGACTCAAATTCATCAAGACAGTTTCTCGCTGTTTTCCTCTTTCTCCGTTGTCTAAAGTGTGATCTGTAGGTGTTAATTCTCGGGGCATTCTTCTTTCATTTTGACTTCAGCATTTACTGATATATAGAAGATAAGAAATAACATACATCAGCTTTCTTTGATTCAAAAGACATTCGCCAATAGAACCACATCTCTGTCACTTCATGCTGCTTCTTTCATTTCTTCATCTGTGAAAAGATTCTTCAACAGTCACTGTCACATGCGACATTGCAGACCAGCTATCTTTACTTTGGTTCCAAGGACATTTGTCAATAAAACCACGTCTCTGTCCCTTCGAGGCTCTTCTTCATCTGTGAAGAGATTCTTCCATATTCACTGCCATATAGAAGATTATATATTACATACAAGACCAGTTATTTTTACTTTGGTTCTAAGGACATTTGTCAATAGAACTACGTCTCTCTCCCTTCGAGGCTCTTCTTCATCTGTGAAGAGATTCTTCCATATTTACTGCCATATAGAAGATTATATAGTACATACAAGACCATCTATCTTTACTTTGGTTCTAAGGACATCAGCTATTATCTAGGTCAACTTAACCTGACATAATATTGTTGACCGGTGACTTCCCCGACATGTCATATTGTTATTTTATTCATTTACATTAATTATAATATGCTTAATAACTTTCTATTCCTTTATATCAAGCCTCAGGCGAAAGATTTGTCATAGATTGTATCAAACAACAAGCAAAAAAACTTAAAGTAAAAACAACTTAGAAAATTTTATCTGAATTTTTAAGATGGGGAAATAAATATGATACAGTGATCTACTCGGACTTCAGCGAAGAAGACTCTCACCGGCATGAGGAAAATATAATAATGTCGCTAAGGAAAACTATTTTGTTTTTTAGCAATTTTATCCCAAGTAATTGCGATCTTAATATCTTCTCCCAAAGAACTTCTAAAGATGCGCGATTATATCTCAAATACGAGATGAGCGGTAGGGGTTCTAATCAAGTAACATAAATTCTCCGGCTACGACATTTTCTTCTAAATTATCAAGTCTTTCCTATCGGGTAGGTCAATGAAGGTCGTCATTGATGGCCAGTTCTCTGAAGCATATTAGATAAATGGCAACATCACCCAAGGATCCCTGCTCAAATCTACACTCTTTCTAATTTATATTAACAGTCTGCCTAAGCACAATCTCAGATCATTAGTCAAAATATATAGAAACGGTACCACCGATTAGGATTGACCTCTAAATATCTGGATGATCAAATTCTGGCCATTGCTCCCTCCTTTGACCTAGCTTTCACAGCTCAACGAGTGAAGGAGTGGCTTGTATGCTTCAATAGCCCCCAAATTAATCTAGCAACGTTATTATCAGCACCAAGCAAATTGACAGTTTATCCCAGTCCTCATAAATCTCTGTACAATCAACGAGGTTCCTTTGTTCGAATGTTTGTTGGTACTAAACCTCACAGCAGTCCATTATTTTTTAATCATTTCACCCCAAACAAGGCAATAAAGCTACTGAAACGCAAGAGATTACTGAATGAGGAAGAATATGAGAAAAAGAAAAACATTATTAAGAACAATAAAAAGACAAGAATTAAGAAGACGGTTGTATTTAAATTTTTGAAAATCAACGTTGCCTGGAAGGCAATAAACCGGAAGAGAGTCCCACAACCGAGAAGTGAGATTGAAGAAACTATTAGCATAGAACTTACGGCTAGATCGCGATATTTCATCTGTAAACTTATTAAAATTTTATGCAAAGTAAATTATATGCCACTTAAAATGTTATGCTACATATGACGCCACCAAGTCTCATCTCCAAAGAACTGAATGTTGACCAAACTGCACACTAACTTTATCTTGAGATATAAACAGATTCCTCTTACTATAAATCATAACTATGGATGAAATATATTTGATTGTTTTTAATCATTTCACCTCTAAGAAGGACAATAAAGCCATAAGAAACAAGATGTTTCTGAGCGTGTGATAATATGAGAGAAAATTCTATTAAGTAGAAAGAAAGATAAAACAAAAGATGACGATTGATACTGCATTTTAGTTTTTGAAGATCAATGTTGACTGAAATGCAAGAACCAGGAAAAGAGTTCCACAAGTGAGTAGTGAGAAAGAAGAAACTGTTAACACAGAACTTGCGGTTCATTGGTGCTATTTCAACTGTAAAAGAACGAGACCTATCAGCCAATCTTGTACTGTGCTTAAATTCGTAATATCGAGGTAAGAAAGTTAAAAACTCATCATAAAAATTAACGTGAAAATATTTATAGAAAATTACACTTAAGTGATGTTACCCCTGACAGACGTTCACACACACACACACACACACACACACACACACACACACACACATATATATATATATATATATATATATATATATATATACTATTACACAATAAAATCCCAAATTACCTCGGACGGTGGGGTGGATAGATCTATATCAACCGACGTGAAGTACGTCAGATTTGTTCAACCCCGGTTTATAGACTGAGTTCATGTCGGAGTTAGAAATTTTCCCCTTTGACACCAGTCAAAAAAATGATACAGAATATATCCGTTTCGAGGTTTCAGCCAGACGTAATGCTCGAGTGGGTGTTAAGGGGACGTTGGGTGCTATTAACCTTAAAGGGAAGTGGTTTTATGAAATTAAACCCGGATATTAAACTTATGACATTAAATTGAGGTTATACGAAAAATGAGGGGTTAATTTGGAACTAAAAGAGGCCGAAACGGGAGTTTTATAATAAAATATTTAATATATATAAAAGATTAGGTTCCTATCTAAAAATAAATATATATTTAAAAGACTCATATTTAGATAATTTATATTAAATTTAAGTAAGAATATATTTTTAAAAGTTATATTAAAGAATAAAAATATGTTTAAAAATAAAAATATAATAAAATAAAATAAAATAAATAGTTATACATTCGACATTTAAAGAGTTAGAGAATTAGAAATTCAAAAATGTTGAATGTATGACATTTTCTAATTTATATCAGGTGATCCCATTAGTTCTGTCCGAATTTTGAATAAAGAAAACAAGTGACCAAATGTTACATTTAATTACAGATTCAATCAACAATGTATTTTCCCTGATTATCTATGACTTCCTTCCATCTATTAACAAGCTTACTAATTCCATTACTGTAAAATTCTTTTGGCTTTGATTCGAAGAACTCACAAATGTCAGTTTTAACCTCTTCCTGTGTTACAAAAGCTGTTTCTTCCAAATGATTCTGTAAGCTACGAAACAAATGGTAGTCTGAAGAAGCAAGATCGGGAGAATAAGGTGGATGAGGAATTTTCTCCCAACCAAGTTCTTCGATCTTTTTTGACGTGATTCTTGCTGTGTAGGGTCGCGCATTGTCCTGATGAAACATCACCTCTTTTCGATTCACTAGAGCAAGTCTTTTTTCCTCAAAGCTTGGTTCAAACGCTCTAATTGCTGACATTATATTTGAGCATTAATTGTTACATTAGGTGGTAAGAATTCAAAGTGTATTATTACTTGGCGATCCCACCAGATTGAAAGAAGAACCTTTTGCCCATGAAGTTCCGATCTCGGCTGTGGTTGGGGTCCTTCCCCTTTAGCAAGCCACTGTCTACGACGCTTAACATTTCGATAAAAGATCCATTTTTCGTCGCCAGTCACAAGTCTATCCAAAAAAGGTGAAAAAAGTTGGCGAGAATGGAGAGAAGAGCAGATGTCAACTCGGGATTTGAGGTTGTTTTCAGACAGTTCATGAGGCACCCATTTTGCAAGTTTAGGAGTTGAAGATGACGATGAACAGTTGTATGGTTTGAACTGAGAACCACTGCCAATTCCTCAACTGATAAAGCAGGATTTTCTTCAAGGGCAGCTTCAAGAAGCTTTTCATCAAACTCAACTGGACGTCCGGTTCGATCTTCATCTTCAAGGGTGAAATCTCCACCTCTGAATTTTGCAAACCATCTTCTGCAAGTTCTTTCATTCACATTCCTCTCCATAAACTGAGTGAATGTTTCTAGCCGCTTCGGCTGCTGAGTTTCCTTTCTTGAACTCATAAAGCATTATGTGCCTCAAATGATTCTTGGGTACTTCCATGTTAGCAGGGTTTTAATCAAACAAAATTTAATTTTATTGTTCTCTGAAATAAAATTTGATCAGTTTAATTACATCTAAACATAAAAATAATGTTCAGCTAAATTAGACATTATAAAATACTCTTTAAATTTCGTTCATTTTTAACAAAAGTTAAAATTCGGACAGAACTTATGGGATGACCTGATATATTTCCATTTTTTTACCATATTAATTATGTTTTATAATTGTCCCCTGTTCAAAGAACTTTCTTTCCTTTTTATCACTTACACCTCTTTATCTATATATTTTAGGGTTGTTTTTAAATATAACGTTGTATTTTTAAGTATAACTTTTTTAAATATAACTTTATATTTTTAAGTATAACATTTTTTTTAAATATAACTTGTTTTTCATTTAACTTGTCTTCATTAGCTACTATATTTCTCTAACACTTTAAATGTCGAATGGATAACTAATTCTAATTTCTCTATTTCCCTTTTTTTCACCATATTAATTATGTCTTATAATTGTCCCCTGTTCAAAGAACTTTCTTTTCTTTTTATCGCTTACACCTCTTTATCTATATATATTTTTTTAGGTTTTTTAAATATATGGTTTTTGTTTTTTTGGGGTTTTTTTTATATAATTTGAATTAACTTATCTTTAAAATTCAAAATGTATAATTTAAAATAATAATTTTGGAGACATTTTGTTAACGTTTTTCAGCTCATATAGTTAACGATGCGATAGAGGAATTTCTACAGACATTTCAAGTTGTACTCTCCCGTCGGATTTTTTTTTTCGACGTATAAGAGTCAAGCAACTCAGTTCTTAGTAACCGACAGCCAAACACCAACACATATGATTTCATTATAGTGGTGAAGTTTTGTGCACAGCCAACTACTCTTTTTGAAGGTCCGAATACAGAGACCTGGTACACTACGTTCTACAAGGTCCCGAAACGACCCTCCGCAGGTTGTGAATTCAGAGTCGTCCTTCTCCTTGACTGATTGCCCTCCAAGGCTATAGAACCCGGTCTGCCCTGCTATTTACCCATACCTGGTGTAAGAAGAGGATTCATATCTTTCCCAATGGTATTAGCACGTAAGTGAATGTAATGGATTCGACTGAATCTCCGATTCTTCAATATATATATATATATTTATTAAAGACATATTTTATGTTTAACGTTGTTATTTTTATAGATACAAGTATTTAAGCAAATGCTCTGTTTATGATAAACAGTATTAAATAACATTTACCGGCCAGAATGTCCGAGAAATTTTCATAGAAAATATTCGTTCTTTGACAGGATTCGAACCTGCATCCTATACGGAACCGTCATATACGCTGACGTGCCTTACCGCTTAGGCTACAAAGAAGCGTTCGGTAGACAAGGTCGAATTTACTGCTTATAAACTCCAATTTTCCATGAATCTCGTACATTCATAACTGCTCATTTGTCCATTTCTTAATATATGACGTCATTTGTTTACATTCGATACGCCAGAGCAGTATTGCCGTAACTTCTTGGGAAGGAGATTGAAGTGTTCCCGGTTGCATTCTTCAGCGTTTTGAATGCACTATAGGCCTTCTCCTAGACTATTTGCCACCAGAGGCTCGAAAGATAAGGATACTCCACTATTTAACCCATAGCTAAGTGTAGAATAGAGGGACATGTATTTTTATCAGCAGCATTACTTCGAAAGTGAATGCAGCAGATTAGTTCGCAATTTGAACTGATCACGCCGATTTCGCTTTCGGCGTCGATATAATTTATGTAACCTGCATATGAACACTAAAATTAAATGTGCTTTTCATTCATTTGACCATGTATAATATTAGCGTGCACTTTATGAGGTTGAATATCTAACGGAATAATATGTGCTTACGGCCACATCACGTTGAAACACCGATTCCCGTACAATCAGTGAAGTTAAGCAACGTCGACTACCAGGTGTGGTAAGCTTGGATGTGGTGTTGGTATAGCTTAGAGCTATATCACGTAGAAAACACCGAAGTTAAGTAACGTCGAGCCAGGTCAGTATCTCGATTCGATGGATGCCCGCTTGGGAATACCAGGTGATGTAAGCTTGGATATGGTTGTTGTATGGCTTATGGAAACACCGAAGTTAAGTAATGTCAAACATGGTCAGTATCTCAATGGGTGACTGCTTGGGAATACCAAGTGATATAAGCTTGGTGGTGGTGGTATGGCTTATGGCCATATCACGTTGAAACACCCAAGATAAGTATTGTCGAGCCTAGCAGTATTTTGATGAGTGAAATACAGCTAGTTTAGTGATTTTTTTTTTTTAGATATTAAACAATTTGTGGGATGGATACTTATGCTGTTACTCAATTTGAACAATTTTCTGTTACATATATATATATATATATATATATATATATATATATATATATATATATATATATATATATATATATATATATTTTATCTTTTTATTTATATATATTAGTTTAATTCATTTTCAAAACAGTTAAGTATTTCCTGTAGCTATACAGTGTTATGTATGAATAGAGGTGAGCAAATCATAATTTGGAAGAAACAGACGAGACATGAGTTAACGTAAAACATAAGTTGACTACAAATTTCCAACTTTTAAAAGATAAATTTTTTTAATTTGTAGTTTATGGCTCCAAAGAATTAAGCCGGCAAAAAAAAAAGAATCTATCGACGAATCTGTTTCGCGACATAGAGACGTCGGCACGTGTTGTGAATTTCATGTCATCGAGAAATAAAAGACCAGCTAATTCCCAGGAGACTTCTGATCAAACTCCACGATTAGCAGAAATTTAGATGATCTTTTTAAAATGCTTATTCTATGGATATTTCTTTACCACCACTAATACTGGAAGTGCACTTATTCACAAAATAAAGATGTCACACATAATTCCCGACTTTTCAAAAATCCGTATATTTGTAAGTATATCCGTGTGCTTATTTAACTATGAGGCAAATCTTTTACTTCAGAACACTATGTAAACCATATAAATTTGCATTTTAGTCAATTTAACACACAACACATATATATATATATATATATATATATATATATATATATATATATATATATATATATATATATATATATATATGTATGTATGTATGTATGTGTGTGTGTGTTGTTGTTGTTGTTCGGACTGTTGTCCTCATCTTTGTTGCCATATTCATGTCCTTTCGACCGAAGATGAGGACAATAGTCCCAACTATGTAAATAGTGAAAATAGTTATAATACCTCATCTCAGAAATATAGATACATTCTGAAGATGGCCGCGGCGTACAACGGTCAAAATGTTGTGAATATGATAATAAAGATGAGGACAATGGCCCAAACTATGTAAATAGCGTAAATAATTACAATACCTCATCTCAGAAATATAGACACATTCTGAAGATGGCCGCAGCGTACAACGGTCGAAATGTCGTGAATATGATAATAAAGATGAGGACAATGGCCCAAACTATGTAAATAGCGTAAATAATTACAATACCTCATCTCAGAAATATAGACATATATATATATATATATATATATATATATAATTTGATATGCGCAGTAATTATTGGAAAGCGCCCAATATTAGTGATGGAGATAACATATTCAGTTGTACGGATATGACTTTGTAACCCTGGGTTTGCGATCATCTGACAAACTTTGTTTGATGATCGCCAAAGCGTGAAAACCAAAGTCACAATGTCATATCCATACAATTGAAGATATACATATATAAATATATATATATAAGAATGGATTTTTTATTCTGACATATTTTTATCACTTTAAACTTTATTTTTAATGGATACTCGTATTTGAGTAGACTCCCAGTTAATTTATTAAACAGTATATTTATTTATTTTCGTCAAACGGCCTGATTGTTCAAGAAGTCTTATTAAAGGAAAACAGTCGGACTCCGGCAGGATTTGAACCTGAGTTCCTTTCGGGTGGAAGGAACCGCTGTTATACCTGACATACTCAAATCGTCTCGGCCAAAAAGAGGCTTTGCCAATAAAGTGTCGTTGAATAGGGCTAAAGCAATCTCTTTCTGGTCATTATTATAATATACTCTTGTGTGAAGAAAAAATAAATTATGAATAAAACATATATTCCATTAAAATCAATATCCTGATTATGTGGGAATCTACAATGACGATATAGGTATTAATAAATAGAAAAATATATATATATATATATATATATATATATATATATATATATATATATATATATATAGAGAGAGAGAGAGTTAGTTAGTTAGTTTAGTACATTAAAAGAATAAAATTTTATTTTAAAATATAAGTTTACTTCTAGTAATCTTATTTTTAATCTCTTTACAAAATTTTATTATTGATTAAGTTGACATCTCTATCCGTTTGAATTTTGTTCATGAATTTAACTCGTGACTGTTTCTAGATGGGTAATCTCTTTTAGTGACACCTTCTCTCATGACTTCCTTCTCTCTTTTTCTCTCTATGGGTTTTTATCCTCTACCCCTTCGATATCAATATATACCTTCCATTAAGTTAACCTTTTAAATGTGTCAATATCTGCTAACTCACTCATGTCTTCACTCTCCCCCCTTACTTCCTCACTTCCT